TTATTACACTATTATAAAGTTTAGATATTAATATAATTTGAAAATAAAACCATTTTCCAAAAAAAAATACGCATGAATTAAGATGCATTAAATATAATTTAAAAACAAAATCACTTTAAAAAAAAAAACAAATAAATCAAGGGAGGACATAAAAATACGGAATATTAAAGTTCTCCCATAAAATTAGGAGATGTTTAATGCATCACTTTCCAAAAAAAAATTAGCATAGATCAAGTGAAGATATAAATATCAGAAGAAAATATGAAAATTTCAAATAATGTACTTAGAAATAAATAAGTATCATAATTAAATATTTTTTTACAATTAACTCTAATTTGGTGTACTCTTTCTAATTTCCCCAAAAAATATGAGCATTTTTACGCTGTGTGTTAAGAGGTATCAAGAGTCAAGGCTAGTCCCACCGACCCATGAACCACCCTGCTTCAAATATTTTGGCAAGGCTGGGGTGCAAGTCAATCCAAGGGCCTCGCCTATGTTTCACAAGACGAGGTCCTTGACCAACTTATCTAAAGTGAATATGTCGAAAGAATATTTCTGAAATTCACAAATCAAACCCTGTGCTTTGTGTAATGAAAAAACTGAAATATAATATTGACATTCAGCAAAACAAAGTTAAAGAAAAATGAGGTGATATCATAGTTGTATTGGACTTACTTCCATCACTGCACTCTCTGGAGCAGTTTCTCCACCATAATTTTTTGCTGCACCCCACTCAATGACTCTGAATTCATGATTGCGTTCGCAACAAGAATAATAGTTGATGGAGATGCGGCATTTACCTAGAGGCATAGACACATTTAGAAGATTAGAGAAATTGATAACAATAATCAATTCATTTTGAAGTATGTGAAGAAGAGGAGACTGCTTAATGGAACATGTTCAAATTTAGCTCATCAACCCCTATAAAAACAAAGAAAAAGTCCACCAAACCCACTATTTAAAAAAAAAAAATCAGTTAAAATAGGACGATATCAAACCTTTTGAAGATTAATCAACTAAAGGGACTCCAATTAGAAGAGTGAAGATTTGTGAAATCGGCACCCCTTATTTCTTATTTTTTTCATAATTCTAATTAATTTTGATGGTGATCAAAATTAATTGGATCCAATTACAGAACGATTTGGGCTGTGGGTCAAATAGTGCATGAATGTGTGTAAGTGTTAGAAAGTCTGCTAAGTTTTAAATATAAGATGAAGACAACCGTATAAGTAGTTCATCCTAGCCAAAGAACTCATATTACATCTACTGTAAGAGAGACTCTTGTTTCCTATGGAATTACATTGCTTGGGAAAGAAAATTACTATTACAAGATACTTGGCTGGAAGCTTTTTACAGAGTATTGCCTAGGTTGTTGCTATTGGATCCCTTCCTTTGTAATGTTGTTATTGCTGGATCCCTTTCTTGTTGATAGGGTTTTGTTGTTGTTCCTTTTTTGGATGATTATGTGGTCCCCTCTTCTTTCAGCCTATTGTTGGATCTGTCATCCCCAAAACTTTTCTGTATCCACTACGTTTCAAATGGAATATGTGATACATCTCCATTATTGGTGGGTATTCGTTCGTTAGGATTATCAGGTACTATCTCTTTGTCCTCTGTCCACGAGTCGTGATACAGTTTTTGGCGAATAGCTTGAAATGATGCTCCCATTTCCTGAGCTGATACATGTGTCGAGCTTACCGATGTCAAGCTGCCACTTATTTTGAGCTGATTTATTGCGGGCTTCTATAGGGCTGAGTCGCAGTTCAACTTAGGCTCAATGAACGCTATCTAGAGTTGGCGCTTGGGGTCGTCTTAAATGAGGTCTCTGGAGAAAACACAAATTTAAATCCATCATCATCAAATTTAATTGAAAAACACGATTATATTCAATTAAATTCTTTCATCTTATTCCTATAATCACTCTCACAATTATTATCGATGCACCTACTCATTTGGAGGTCAATTGATCGATATGATAAGATTGAACCTAAAAATACCATAAAAATTATAATTTAACCCAAAAAATTATAAGTTAACCACAAAAATTATTAATAAACGATACAATACCAATTTTTTTTTCAATATGTAGACTTAGAACATGTCTCGTAAAAAACAAGGATGACTGACCTTAAGTATAACAAAAAATATTGAACTCTAGTTAGCAGATAACAGACTCGGTCACTGACCTATCCTATGGGCCGGGCCAGACCTAAGTAGTGTAGGCCCAAGCCCTTATCTAAGTGAGTTATCGGCCGGGCTGGGCTGAGTTTGGGGTAGGGGTAGGCTAACNAGGGTTCAATTGAAAACTTCCAACAGCCAAAACCTCATCAACACAAAAAGTTAACTGTAACCTATGAAGCACAGATACTTCATTGAGGTTGACGTACCCGTATCAGATATTGTATCGAATACGATACTTGTCAGATACTCAAGGATACGTATCAGATACACCTTCTACGTATCCGATAATAATTAAATATTATGATACTTCATGGATACTTTTGTAGTCAAACAATATATATAATTTTTAGTTTAACTTTTAACACCTCTTTTCAAATTCACATACTATATAATACATTAACAAAAAATTCATATTACTTCAAATGTACTTGAGTGTTTTTTNATAAAATAATGGATTACATCCAATAAATGAATAAATCTCAACTAAGTTGACACCTGCTAATTTATCTCTCATTTGCATTACTCTATTATTTAAAACTTATATGCTTAATACATGGAAAAATAATAATACATTATTTATAATATCTAAATTTTTAAAACTTCAGATTTCGATATTGTGAGACTTATTTCAAAATTTTAAATTTAATGATCTAAAAATATAACTTTTTTTCAAAGGAATGCTGGGTGGGCTGAGCTTGACGGGCAGACTCTTGGACCCANATTATAATCTTAGCAAAAAATACTTCTAAATACTAGGTAAATATTAGTTTTAATTCCTTTAATTAGTCACTTCACCTTGTGAATATACCACAATGACACGATATACATTTTCTTGAAACTAAAAAGAATTACTAATTTTACTTATTATATGTTAAATAATTATCNGCTGGGTGGGCTGAGCTTGACGGGCAGACTCTTGGACCCAGCTTCGGGCAGGGTAATAGATTTGGGGGCAAACTCAAGTCCTCTTTTTAAGAATATTGGACTCAGGCTCGAGCGGGCCAACTATCGGACCTATCGAAATTCAAACCTATTTTTTTCGAACCGAGTAACAAAACTCGTNATAAGTATTAAGTTGGTTGAAAATAGTAAAAATATTAAATATATTTTATTATAGCCGTATCTTGGTCATACTCGTATCCTATTTTTTTAGATTTTGTCATATCGCCGTATCCATATCGTATCATACTCGTATCCCGTATTCGTATTCTGTGCTTCATAGACTGTAACTTACCCAAAAAAAGAAGCTCTCTTTGTACTCATGAGATCAAGTCGGTGGCCGCAAGCTTCCTCTCTTTGTTGTTATGATTGTTGGCTTGTGTCTATGTCGGGTTGTAGAATTTTGCTATATCGACATTTTTTTGTTTGATGTGGTTATTGGGGTGTCCTTGAGTGTTGTTGAAGCACTTTTTTGGGTACATAATGGGTTATGAAAATAAATTTAAATTTGGTTTTCATGGTGATGAACTATGAGTAGCTCTGACAAGTTGTGAATTGTTTTTTCCACTATGTTCTTTGCACAGGAAATCTGACTTTCTTAAAGGATTTCTATAATATTTAATTTTGTTAGGTTTTGAATTTTCAATAATTTCTTGTTTCATTTTCAAATTCTTTGTTAACCCTTAATGTTTTGTAGTGATGCAAAAAAACTTCGTCGAGTTGGGGAGCAAGTGGAGAAGTGATAATCAACTCTCCTAGTCGACTCACAATGCCCTAAGCAATTAAGGATTGATGGAATTCATAGTCTACTCCAACGTATTGAGGCAAATGAAGAAGTGATAAAGTTGCCGCTATTACTTATTTTGGTTATTGTTCTAATGCTAAAATGATGTAACTAGATCAAGTGTTGTATGTAATGTAATGATCCATTGTCATTTATGGAAATGGTATTTTAAACATTCTTTGTGGGTTTGATGGTATAGCATGTGTATTTTTAGTGATGGTGGTAGTGGAGAAAAATAGTATAACATTTATGTCTTCAAAGTGGATTTGGTGGCTTTGACAGCAAACCAGAATGCAATAAACATCATTTTAGTCTAAAAACAGAGTAATTTTTTTTTTTTTTTTGTAAAAGAGGGATGTATTGAAATAAACCAAGATTACACGAACCAAATAAGCAAAGCTTAACAAAAAAAAGAAAAAAAAATCCATAGTTGGCTTTAATCCTTCAAAGTAAAAGACAAAAAATATTGACATTTTTTTGCCAAAACTGTCCAAACATATGGATCAGCTGAGAGGCGCCAAAGGTTAAGAGAACCAGCTGAGAAAAAAAATGTATATCAACTAAATTTTAGAAAGAAAATTTCTTTAATAATATAAAGCAATTGCCCAAAATTGGAAAGCAATTATCCTTACAACCAACAATTGCCCAAGTGTCGAAACCCACGAACAAAAGTTAACTTTTTTGTTGGAAATTACACACTGAATACACAACCATTGGAGAATTAAGCTAAACATCTATAATACATCTAAAGCAAAAAACCAATGTGTCTAAAAAATGAGCTTCAAGGCAGTAAAAAATAGGCTTGCAAAAAATGTAATTGCATACCATTTTTCAACCAAGCCTCATAATTTGTATAAGCTTGACAAAATAAAACCCAATCAACAAAAAACTACAACCAAATATCTCTCATTAGAAGATAAATCTATAAGCTTAACTTATAATTAAACACAATTAAATTACAAAAGAAATAAGTAGAACTATGTTTTAGGTTGAAATATATTTAACATAAGAAAAACAAAAAGTGATAAAGGACGTCAGCCTGAGTGCAACAAATTAGACAGTTAAAGGTACCAACACATCCCTAATAACAAACAACCTACTTATGTATCGTAGCTACGTGAGAAGCAAGTGGTAACCACTGCACACGATTGCCCACAGCCAAAGATTTCACCTCACTACCTACTTCTTCTATGATCCCAGCACACTCATGCCCAATTACTGTAGGCTTTTTCACAACAAAATTTGCACATCTCATATTCTAGACATACACATCATTCAAAACACCACATAATCAATTAATCAAACACTATATGGAAACATCTCCATATCTAGCATCAGCAAATTAATTTTCAGAAGTGTGACGGTTTGAGCAGTTTACCTCGAAGTGATGAACATCACTTTCACGTATGCCCACAGCTTTCATCGGGACCTTAACATCATGAAGGCTTGAAGTTGCAATCGTATGATCAAAACCCAATTGACCAAACTAATTGAAGAGTTCATAGGAGTCAATTAAAACTCTAATTCGAACTAAAACATAAAAACTGGTACTCCATTTGATTTGAAAATGTTGATCAAAAGGGAAAATTTTTGAATAGAGAATGACTTTTCCAAGNCTAAAACATAAAAACTGGTACTTCATTTGATTGGAAAATGTTGATCAAAAGGGAAAAATTTTGAATAGAGAATGACTCTTCCATGACAGTGTACCCAACACAAAAGCAATAACGAAATGCATGAAATTTGGAAACTGAGTATTAAAAAGAGAAAAAAAAACAATACAGACCAAGAGAATGAACATAGATCCTTTATAAAAAAATAAGTGGGTAAAATTATTTCTTCTCATTGGCGTTCTGTCAATCACCTAGAATGCATTAGTGGGTGGTGGTTGTAAAGGCTCTGACGTTGCTGGCAATATCATTAAGAAATTTAATCTCAGAATTTGGCATAAACACACACGCACATAGTGTTTCAGCGTCACTGCCATTTGCAACAACTATTGACAAAGAAAGAGAATGAACATAGAGAGAGTGTGTGTGTGAGTGAGTGAGAGAAAAATATGTACCTGGGCAGCAGCGTTGACTGTGCTATNAATATCATTAAGAAATTTAATCTCAGAATTTGGCATAAACACACACGCACATAGTGCTTCAGCGTCACTGTCATTTGCAACAACTATTGACAAAGAAAGAGAATGAACATAGAGAGAGAGTGTGTGAGTGAGTGAGAGAAAAATATGTACCTGGGCAGCAGCGTTGGCTGTGCTGTGACTTTGCTGGTGGAGAATAAGCAGCAGCACAAAGATTGGAAAAAGAATGTGTGAGTGAAGATTTAAGATTGGCAGANCTGTGCTATGACTTTGCTGGTGGAGAATAAGCAGCAGCACAAAGATTGGAAAAAGAATGTGTGAGTGAAGATTTAAGATTGGCAGAAGTGAGAATGAGATGGATTCCATTTGAGAGATTTTGGAGATGAGTTTGGAAAGCATGGGATAGAGGCATGAGAGATTGGAAGAGAGAGGCAGAAGTGAGAGAGAGAGAGAGAGAGAGATGCGTGACAGAGGCCTGAGTTGGGTGGAAAATAAAATTTAGTACTCATTGTAGACCGNAATCCAATCCGCCTCTCCTGTCTATCTTTATCCTGTGAAAGAAGCACCCCTTTTTATGAATTGCATAAACAAACACACTCCATCAAAATAGAAAATGACATGAGAAAACANGATAGAGGCATGAGAGATTGGAAGAGAGAGGCAGAAGTGAGAGAGAGAGAGAGAGATGCGTGACAGAGGCCTGAGTTGGGTGGAAAATAAAATTTAGTACTCATTGTAGACCGTTAGATCATAATTTTTAAGATGATATAAACCGTATTTTATGTTAGGATTACGTTGTCCATTGGATATGTTTATGTTTTGTCTTAAAACGATCTAAGCCTCTATTTGTCTCCAAAATTCAAACTCAGCTCTACTTTATNAGAAGTGAGAGAGAGAGAGAGAGATGCGTGACAGAGGCCTGAGTTGGGTGGAAAATAAAATTTAGTACTCATTGTAGACTGTTAGATCATAATTTTTAAGATGATATAAACCGTATTTTATGTTAGGATTACGTTGTCCATTGGATATGTTTATGTTTTGTCTTAAAAAGATCTAAGCCTCTATNTGACAGAGGCCTGAGTTGGGTGGAAAATAAAATTTAGTACTCATTGTAGACCGTTAGATCATAATTTTTAAGATGATATAAACCGTATTTTATGTTAGGATTACGTTGTCCATTGGATATGTTTATGTTTTGTCTTAAAACGATCTAAGCCTCTATTTGTCTCCAAAATTCAAACTCAGCTCTACTTTATTATATATATATATATATATAACATTAAAAATAAGAAATAGTAACCTTCAAATACAAAAACAATTATCATTTAAACACAAAAAATAATACCATTTAAACACAAGAAAATAGTAACATTTAAACATAAAAAAATAATCACATTCAATATTAATATTTAAAAAAAATAACAATAGTAGCATGTTCAAAAAAAATAGTAATATGTTCAATAAAAACAATACCATACTTAAAAAAAAAAGTAACATACTCAACAAAAGAAAATAGCAAAATGGAACATTGANACTTTGAACTTTGCACTTTGCATTTTGCTTGGATATGAGATTCTTGCTTTCGGATGGGAAAATTGGATTTGCAGCCCCACATTTTGATCATATTTTGAATTAGATGATCTAAAAACTATTGTTTGAAAAATCATGGAATAAAATTAAACAAGTGATATAGTTTTATTAATTAAAAAGTGCAGGTACTGAATCTTGTCCCTGAGCCTGGGGTTATCACCACTAGGCACCAGAGAAGTTCTTTTGGGTATTGTGGACTCTATTAGAACTTTACTGAATTTGTTGTTCTGAATTTGTTATTTTGTTTTGTTAACAGATCATTTCCTTATAGATGAAATTACTCCACAATCATCTACTCAAGCTGATTCTAACAATAACATCTCAGTTACTGATGATATTCAAANGAAACCTCTAATTGTTTAGTATCCAAAAAAATAACACTGAAAAAAGTAATAACATGATCAAATAAAAAATAGTAACATGGTCAATTAGAAAAAATAGTAACATGATCAACAAAAAATGTAGTACCATGAAACACCGAAAAAATTTGGAGATTTTTTATCAAAAAATAAAAATAAAATTAGGGATCAAACTGATAGCACATTGAGCAAGTTTTTCAAATTTTNAATAACATCTCAGTTACTGATGATATTCAAACTGAGGGACAAGATACAAAAAAAAGATCTAGAGTTTGGGAGCATTTTGAAAAGATTGAAGTTGCAGATGAAGCTAAATGTCAGCATTGTAGTAAGATTTATAATTATCATAAANTTCATGATGACCAAAATACAATAGAAGATATGATAATTGTTGAAGATGTTCTAAACTCTATTGATTTTGATGCTATGGAGGAAGAAATGAGATATAAGGAGAAAGATTAGTTGTACTAGAGTGATGATCTTCTTCTAACGTGAGAGAGAGAGAGAGAGAGAGAGAGAGAGAATAAATTTGANAAGAAGGACATATCTCAATTAAAGTTAATTGGTGCGTTCAAAAAAGATGGAGATGGTGTTAGTAGTGACCTTAGTGTTGCTAAATTCAATGAAAAGAAAATTAGGGAGGCAATTGCTAAAATGATTATAGTGGATGAATTGTCGTTCCAGTTTGTTGAAAGAGAAGGATTTAGAGACTTGATGAGGACTGATGAACCTAGACTTTCGTATACCTTCTCGTACCACTATGATGAGTGATTGTTTGCAATTATATATGATGGAGAAAGAAAAATTGAAACATATGTTTGTCTCATCTAGTCAAAGGATTTGTCATACTACTGATACATGGACGTCTATTCAAAATCTAACTTATATGTCCTTAACTGCACATTTCATTGATAAAGATTGGAAGTTACACAAACGAATAATCAATTTTCTGAAAGTTCATAATCATAAGGGTGTGACAATTGGAAGGGAAATTGAAGCATGCATGCTTGGGTGGGGGATAGATAGCATATTTACTGTTACAGTGGATAATGCTACTGCTAATGATGGTGCTCTTGATTATTTAAAGAGGCGAACTAAGAATGGGAAGAACACTATCTTAGAAAATGAAATTATGCATGTTAGGTGTTGTGCACACATTTTGAATCTAATTGTCATGGAGGGTTTGAAGGAAGTGAACACATCAATTTTAAAGGTACGAAATGCTGTTAAATATGTGAAGTCTTCTCCTTCAAGGCTTGACAAGTTTAAATCATGTGTTGAGAGACAAAAAAATGGTGAAAAAGGTCTTCTTTGTCCTGATGTTCCAACAAGATGGAACTCTACATATTTGATGCTCAAAATTGTTGAATAGTACCAAGGTGCATTTGATTTGTTGCAAGAAGATGATGGGCAATTTGTAAGTCAATTGAGTGAGGGGGTGTGGTTTAGGGCCACCTACATTTGATGATTGGGACATTGTTTGTGTGTTTATGAAGTTTTTGAAACTTTTCTATGAAGTCACTTTGCGCATTTCTGGATCATTGTATACCACGTCTAACTTGTTTTTTCTGGAACTTTATATTGTGTATGATCATTTGCAAGGTTATTGTGAAGATGATGACTATCTTTTGAGTACCATGGCTATGAGAATGAAAAGCAAGTATGATAAGTATTGGGGTCATTTAGATAATATTAATTTGATGTTGTTTGTTGCTATTGTCCTTGACCCACGTTATAAATTGGATGCTTTAGAATTTTGGCTCAATGACAATTACAAGGCTGAGGATGAAGTAGTTAAGGTTCAATTAGTTGAAAAGATCAAAAGGGTCATTGACTGATTATGGCAACAGTACACTACATTTAGTGTGGGGTGTGGAGTGGGGTCAAGTGTTGACCATGAGAAAAATATGTCTTTGGCTGAGATGTCTGTTCAAAATCAAGTACCTACAAATTTCATGAATAGGTACCGCAAGTATAGAGCTGAGAAATGTAATGTGGACAACAAATCAGAGTTGGATCGATATTTGATGGAGGATGTTGAATTTGTTAGCGCCAATTTTGATATTTTGAATTGGTGGAAGGTTAATTTTTCTAAATTCTCAATCCTTGCCAAAATAGCTCGTGATGTGTTAGCTATTCCCATTTCTACGGTGGCATCA